CAACTCAAATTGGCGCATAAGTCAATCAGCCTGTGACGAAGCAACGCAAACCACTGCTGACAGCGACGTACCCCAGCCTGGAACGAAGCAAGGAACGCTAACAAAACACTGACAACGTTGCAACTAGCTGTGCCCACTGTGGCGCAGCGCTAAACAATCTGTCAATGAAGCAAACCAGCTGTGCACCCTGTGGCGCAGCTCAAAACACCCCGGGCAACGATAACAATCAGCTGCGCACTCTGCAGCGCACTCCCAAATCAGGCTGCTAACGATGCAAACCAGCCTGCAAGCGAGTCGAAACCACAAAACCTGACGTACAAGCCTGTCAGCATGCAAATCAGCCTGGGGCGACGCAATCAGCGCTCCTAAAATTCTGCCAGTACTGCAATCAGCGTCTCTGACGCACAATTAGTCTCCCAGTAAGCTGCCGCTGACATTAACCTGCCACGTACTCTGTGGCGCAACGCCAACACAACCTGACAGCAAATTGACCTGGTAACTATGCACAAAAGCTGACGACCTGCTAATCCTGGTCCCAACAGCCTGATACAAGAGCAAATCAGCTGGCAGTCCTGACGCCCACCTATTCTCTGAGCTGGCGTAAATCAATCAGCCTGCCTATGGGCCACACAATGCCAACTTGCCCACAATGTCACACTGCAGCGGTAAGGCTACGCAAGCAACGTCCTGCACTGACAATGCTATGCAAGCTGATCAATGCAATACAAAGCTATACAAGCAATGTCCTGGGGAGCAGGCCTCCAAGACCTGCTCCTCCCTTTCTGTCCTTGGGCCTAGGGCCCTAGTAGTACCGTAGTCTGAAGCACTTTCCTTGGGCCTCAGCCGCCTCGGCCGAGCCTAGCCTTACAGTGTATACACTTAAGTACACCTCAAATCAGCTCGGTGAGTCAAACCGCATTCACCCCAATATACACTTAATTCCAGAGTCAAACAATCACCGTAAGACTCACAATACACACAAATTCACACAATTCACTCCAAATCACCGCACTGCAACCCGAGTGTATAAGTTCAGGGGGGTGTCGTACCCTGGCCTCTGG